AGGGGAGGGGAGACGGAGCAGGAGCCCTCCCGAGAGGGGAGACGGAGGAGCAGCTCTCCCGAGAGGGGAGGGGAGACAGAGGAGCAGCCCTCCCGAGAGGGGAGGGGAGACGGAGCAGGAGCCCTCCCGAGAGGGGAGACTGAGGAGCAGATCGTGGCAGAGTACGTGTCCAAGGAGGCCGCCAGCACAGAACCAGCCAGGGCCTCAACGATAGCCGTGCCAGCCGCCTCCACAAGCAGGGAAACCGAGGCCCAGACTGGTCTCTGTCCAGCCTCCACCTTCTTCCAGCCCAGCCTTCCTCCAAGACCCCCTCCGACCCTCCCCAGCCAGTGACAGAGTGAGTGTACGGTGACCTGAGACCCGTGTGACTATGCAGGGTCCCCATGAGTGCTCAGGCTCAGGCCTTCCTGCCGCCCTCCACCAGGCGGGCCCACATGCAGCTTAGATGGCTCCTTATGGGATGATGCTTTCCAGGCTATAGCTGCAGAAGACCTTCCTCAAAGGACACGTGAGTGACGGGGAGGTGGGGGAAGCTGCCTACGGCGGCGCCTCAGCAGCACGCTAGAAGCGGCCTCATCCCAGCTCTCCTGCAGCACGTTCTGAAGAGCAGCTGTGAGCTGGGCTTCTTCCAGGACAGGACAGGCCGCGCAAGGAAACCCGGACAGCTGGCCTTGGGGCCGGGGCAAGTGGGCACAGAGGTGCAGCCTGCAGGGCTGCTCTTGGCCAGAGGACGCGAGATTAGATGCCCCCAAAGGGAAGGCACGTGTGTGTGGTGTGGACACGGGAGGTCTGTGGGGTCCTCAGATGGGGGGTGCAGGGCGGGGTCTGGAGGGTTCTGGCAGTCCTGGGGTGTGGTGCCTGCCAAAGGCCATTCTGAGCAGAGGAACCTTGGCCCCAGGAAAGCAGCTGGTGGCGGTCACCAGCATGACCACACTGCCACGTTCTCTTGTCATCATTCCAATCTGTGCTTCTGACTGGGCTCTGGGAACATGGCTGCAGCTGGCAGGCCCCAGGTGGCATACAACACCCTGCCCAGCTGTCGTAGCCGTCACCCTGAACAGTTGCGCCACGCCACACCCCGCCCGCCCTGCACCCCCCATCTGCTTTGTTGTGGAGAGACCCGATAATTACCTGCAGGAGATGTTTTCTGTCCTGGAAAACCCAGAGGAGAAGCACTTGTGCTGGAGACACAACCCACGGAGCATTCCTGGAGTTCAGAAAAAGTGGAACGAGCCTGAGTCTGGAGCCAGGGCTGAGAGTGGCATGCCAGGCGGGTTCCAGGGGGCAGGGAGGCTCCTCAGGATGTGCCAGCCTTCACAGTGCAGGGAACCCTGGCCGCCACCGTGCCTGGCACCCTGGTTTGTGCCCAGCCTCTCTGTAGAGGTGGGCGGTGCCAGCACTCTCCTGAGAGTGAGGCCTTGGTCTTCTGTCCTTGTTGTGCCCAGGCATAGCCTGTCTCAGGGCCGGAGGGTGCTTGTCTTACTAAGAATTTTGTGCAGATGGTGGATTTGTCGCTGCTCAGAACCTCGGAGTGTCCCCACGTGGGATCCCTGACATGTCCTGGGCTCCTGTTTTTAGGCATCTGGGTCACAGGCCCCAGTTCCACCCACTGAAGCATGGATTTGATGAGTGGTTCGGATCCCCCAACTGTCACTTTGGACCTTATGACAACAAGGCCAGGCCCAACATCCCTGTGTACAGAGACTGGGAGATGGTTGGCAGGTAACGGGGTCCCGCTCCACCCCTTTCCTTCCCGGGCCCTGAACCACGGTGCCTGGTGCACCTGCCCCCTGCCCTGCGTCTGGCGCTGGTGGCCTCAAGCCGCCTGCTCACAAGGACTAGGCTAGGCTGGCCCAGGTATGGAGGGCTTTGTTTTGGCGGCTTCTGTCCCACAGAGTTTTGCCGCAGACTGTGAGACTTGCGCGTGGGGTGGCTTCCAACCGTCTCAGAGTCGTAGATCACTTTAACTGTCCTGACAGTGGAAGGCCCCCAGCACAGTGAGCCCACGCCATCTGCACTCGCTGCCGGGGTTCTGCCCATGTGGTCCACGCGTGGGGAGGCTGGCTGTGCTCTGAATGTCCAGGGATACAGGCAGGACAGAAGGTGGTATGAAACCCCACTGTGAGCCACACCAGGAGCAAGCGGATGTCCGGACGGAGCCATCCTGGTGCCTGGGTGTGGGGCAGCACCTCTGACGGGGCAGTGCCCGGGTCAGGGACCCTCATCTTTTGTGAATTTTGTTTGGCTTAACGTGACTCTTCTTTTTTTTTTTTTTGAGACACAGCCTCCCACTGTCACCCAGGCTGTAGTGCATTGGCAGGATCTTGATTCACTGCAACCTCCACCTTTCAGGTTCAAGCAATTCTTCTGCCTCAGCCTCCCAAGTAACTGGCACTACAGGCGTGTGCCACCACACCCAGCTAGTTTTTGTATTTTTAGTAGAGATGGGATTTCACCATGTTAGCCGGGATGGTCTCGATCCCTTGACCTCGCGATCCGCCCGCCTAGGCCTCCCAAAGTGCTGGGATTACAGGTGTGAACCACTGCGCCTGGCCAGCTTGACTCTTCTTGATGGAAGCGCTCATTCATTACGTGACAGTGGGCTAGCAGCAGCACCAGCTTACTGCCTTTTCCGGACAGAGCTCCGTGGGGGTGTGGGAGTCTCCGTCCCTGTTTGAAGTGTGCAGTTCTGTGGTTTGCAGTAGCAGGAGGCTGGGACAGCCAGCACTGCAGCTGCTTCAGAGCTGGCCCCGCAGCCTGAGCCGTCACTCCCCAGTCCCAGCCCTGAGTAACCACAGCCGCCTCACTACCTTCACCCTAGTGTCGCGCCCGCTGTCCTGTGCCCGCATCTTCCCCCAGGCAGGTTATTACAGCACCTCAGCCAGGTCATCAGATGCAAGACTGTGCTCTGGGGAGCAAGGCCCGTGTCCAGCTTGCTCTGTTTCCTGAGTGGACATTTCATTTCCAGCCTTCTTCACCCCCCCAACCCAAATTGAGTCTGGCTCTGTCACCCAGGCTTGAGTGCAGTAGCATGATCTTGGCTCACTGCAACCTCTGCCTCCTGAGTTCAAGCAATTCTCCTGCCTCAGCCTCCTAAGTAGTTGGGATTACAGGCGCCTGCCACCACGCCTGGCTAATTTTTGTATTTTTAATAGAGACAGGGTTTCTACATGTTGGCCAAGCTGGGCTCAAACTCCTGGCCTCATCATCCACCCTCCTCAGCCTCCCAAAGTGCTGGGACTACAGGTGTGAGCCACCATGCCCGACCCCAGCCTTTGCCGGTGAAGTCAGGGAGAAGGGGACTTCCTTGGCCTAAGTTCTGACGTCTGTCTGGATCTGTATTCTCTTCAGATATTATGAAGAATTTCCTATTAATCTGAAGACCGGGGAAGCCAACCTTACCCAGATCTACCTGCAGGTGACAGGACTGCACAAGCTGTGCTCTGTGGGAGGCGTGGGGAGGTGGCCTCAGGCCAGAGGAGGACAGTGCGGCTCTCTCCACAGGAAGCCCTAGACTTCATTAAGAGACAGGCACGGCGCCGCCCCTTCTTCCTCTACTGGGCTGTGGACGCCACGCACGCGCCCGTCTACGCCTCCAAACCCTTCCTGGGCACCAGTCGGAGAGGGCGGTGAGTCCCGACTCCAAGGAGCACAGACTGGCTGGAGGCCCCATCTGCGCTTGACTCCTGCAGAGATGGGGCGCTCAGTACCGTGGCGTTTAGTTCACATCATGGAAAGGCCAGAGCAGCCCTGCCCCTTTGAAGCCGTCTGCCGGCCTGGGCTCAGCGGTGGAGGGCTGCAGTGGGTGTCCGGGCCTTGTCCCTTCTAAGCCACGTGAACTTGAACTCAGGCCTCTCCTCTTGTTCTGGGAAGTAGCAGGCAGTTTCACTGACGTCTGTGACATTGTGATTTAAGGTACTCTGTGAATCACAGTGTGCCGCTGGCCGCCCGATCCATCTGTCAACCATCCCCCCAGGTACGGAGACGCTGTCCGGGAGATTGATGACAGCATTGGGAAGATGCTTCAGCTCCTCCAGGACCTGCGCGTCGCGGACAACACCTTCGTCTTCTTCACGTCGGACAATGGCGCCGCCCTCATTTCTGCTCCTGAGCAAGGTGAGCGCTAACCGCCACTTCCCATGGTTTCTTCGCAGCCAGCACGTCACTGAGAACGCCTGGACTGGCTGCGACACAACCCGCAGGGTCTGTAGTGGGCGGAGCTTGAAGGTCCCTCCAGGTCCAATGTGAGGAGCAGATGTCACCCAGCCTCGAGCAAGGCTGGCGGCCCTTCCGGCCCAGGACTAACCTGGAAGCAGGAGTGGCTTTGAACTTGGGAGCGGGGAGGAGGTGACACGGGAGAAAGTTTGTCTTGGAAGAGGCTGACACCTCCCGAGGGGTGACCCCGGAGACTAGAGGCTTTGTAGCCTGGGTGGAAAAGCAGGGCCAGTGGAGCAGGGTGTCCCTGCAGAGATGGGGACAGGCACCCAAGACCCAGAGCAGCTCTGCGAGTTTGGCCTGGGCCTGGTCACCCAGGGGCCAGGGCCTGAGTCATGAACGTGGCTCCTGCCCCCACCACGGCCCCGTCGAGCCATTCCCGGGATGGAACACCTCAGCCTTTCTCCCACTCAGTACTGAGGAACGCCTGACCCATCCCCCGCACCAACCTGAACTCGCCGCTTCCCAGACCACGAGGGGGGCCCCTGCAGCCCAGTGTCCTTCGGGGAAAGAGGGCTTCAGGGTTTCAGGTGATAGAAACCAGCACAGCTGAAAGCCAAGACGGAAGCATGTTGGCCCCAGAGCAGCGCCCAGGTGGCCAGCCAGGGGCTCCCTCATGCCACGTCCCACCTGACAGCTTCCCTGGACGAGCTTGGCTCTCACGCAGACCCTCCAGACAGCTCCATCTCCCACCCACTGGAGTCAGACCCACAGGTCGAGGCTCCCATGGGCTGCAGGCAGCTCCCAGGAGGGAGGGTGCTGGCGGGGGGAGAGTGGTGTTGGCTGTCATTCCCCATGGGAAGCCTGGGGGGGGTCCCACCTCATCGCCAGCACCCACAACCACCAGCCAGCAGTGTCCAGGGCTCCAATGACCTGAGTCTTCGTTTCTAAATGATGGAATATTTCATACAAACAGAAACGGCCTGAGGCCAGGCACTGTGGCTCATGCCTGTAATCCCAGCACTTTGGGAGGCCGAGGCAGACAGATCACCTGAGGTCAGGAGTTCAAAACCAGCCTGACTAACATGGAGAAACC